ACGTTTTCTGTAGAGACTACACTGGAAGCCGCAAGTCGACTTTTAACGTACACATTCCAAAAAGAAAAGCTAATGCATTGATTCCCCGTGCCACCTGGACCAGGTTCAGTCAAAACAATTTCGTCTGTCTGTTGTATCTAAGCTTTAGCCGCCAGAGTAGAGGGGATCACAGAAGCACTAAGAGAAATGCAGGAAAACTGTAATACTTAGGCTTATATCTGCTTAAAAATTATTCGTATACTTTTGCTGTGCTTGCAATTAGCACATAAAGAAACTTCTACCTGGCGTCCGTTACTGCAGATGGGATAAGTTCTCCAAATAACTAGAAGTAAAAATTAGTCAGTGGGATGCCTTTAAACATGAGGAACACTCCTGCAGGAACAGAAAGATTAGCTCACTTGGAAAAACTTAGCTGACTCTAAGGAACATATTTGCAGATGAAAGGTACAGTGCTTCTTGCTTCTCTGATGCCCTGTGTTGTCAGTGCTCTAAAGACACCATCAGAGTCAGAAGATAAGCATAATTTCTTAAATTAGGCTCCAAGTATTCAGAGGATTTTGAGGACTGGTCAGTATTTAGTCAATATAAATAGCATTTTTTGCTGCTTAATGTGACTGAAAGTGAGAAGGCTGTAATGGTTACCTTGCTTTTCTATTATCTCTGAATTTGTAGCTCACAGTTAATGCAGGGCAAATTTCTCTGCATAGCTCGCTCTTTTACATGGTTCTGTGGGATTTCAGTCCTGTGTCAGAAACCACTTGCTGATTTGATCAAAACCCTACTCTTCAGAGAAAAAGAGCAGCTCATGAGGAAAATGAAAGCAGTTGTAACAGTCCCTATGGGTTTGGACAGACCTTGCAGGAGCCATAGGAGACCTGTGATTCTGTCACTGCCAGTCACTTCATGCATCCTGATGTCCAGGGAGTAGTGACAAAAGGGGAGATGAGACACCAAAATAAAAATGTTCTCTCATTCATTGAGAGAAACGGTGTTAGTGTGATAGTGTCCAAGGATCCACTGAGACAGGTATTGTGTAAACACGTGGAACACAAAATCTCTGTTTATTTGGGTCCACAATACCGAGTTATTTGACATTCTTAGTTTTTATTAATAAAGACATCTTCATTTTATTAATAAACATACACCCTTCAGTGACATGTTCTTGCAGCGGAGGAGCTAGCATTCTAGGTGAGGTGGACATCAAAGAGAGGGAGAGGTTATGGAAACTAAGGAACACAAATCAGGCAGAAACAGAAGGTCCAGATGAAAAGCAAAGACTGGATATCTGAAAGATTGTAGCAGCTTGAAGAGACAAAGATGAACACAAGCCAGCAATACAGTTAAAACCGTTTGAAATAACCAAGTTCAAGTATTAGACTTGATTGGATGCAGAAACTGAGAAGGGTTCCCTTACTGCTGTTACACCAACTTACAGAGAGCGGGGGGAAAAAGGGTGTGATAAAGTGCAAGAGGAGTTGAATGCCCTGACCTGCACCACTGCTGGACTTTCTTGTGAGGCGTCTGGTGAACGTAGGTGTTTCCATGATTTATTCCAGTGGAATTCTCTATATTCTTCCCCATTGAGTGGAAAGGGTGTGTACTCTCTCTGTGGATGTTGTAAAAATCCCCAGGAAATGCTGTGAATAGAAACTGTTGAGTTACTGTGAAATGCTGAGAAATGCATTGCTGTGTGTAAAGGAGTTTGAACCTCTGTCAGCAGAGGAAAGTCTGGCCCTAAATAAGTGGGAGCAGATGAAGAGAGAGCAAAGAACTCCAGAACAGCAGTATTGCAAAAGGTGGCCAAGTTATCTCTAAAGAGTGACAGAAATACAATCTTAGAATCTACTGTTGCATACACATTCCATGAGTGAGCACGAGTCCATTCCTACACCCACCAGTTTTGCATGTATGTGTTGTAGTTACTTCTGATTTTTCTAAACTCAAAAGAGAGGCCTGGTTGCACTTCTTTAAAAATTACCGTAAAGACTCACTATCTTCAGTGTGAATTTGACAGGCTCCCAGCAGAGCCTGATTTTTTTCCTTCTATTTTTAGAGACAGCTGTAAAGCTGTAGTCAAGAATTGCTTGCATAATATTTTAAGAAATGACAGCGAAGCACAATGGCATATTTTGACCTTTGGCATTAGATAAGTAATTGGCAGATTAAGTTAATTTTTATTCAAGCAGGGAGACTTGCTTTTTGCTTGCTTGTGAACTCCTGCACCATTATACAAGATTAAACCACATGGGTATGTTTTAAAAATAGGTTTTGGTTTGTTGGCCTTCCTCTTCTATTTGTTGGCCTCTTCATGTGAAGGAAGACCTCTCTTCTGTTCTCTGTAAGTGACAAGTAGTGCATGGTACGTACTTGTGTGTGTGTGTGCACAGGTGTGAGAGGAGGAGAGACTTTTTAATTTCATGACTGACATTCTAGCAGTGTTACAAATAATTTGAAAACTCACCTAGAAAACATCTTTGTTACTGTGTGATTGAGGAGCCAGTTTCTAGACCTATGGCTCAGCACAAGTCCTCCAGTGAATTCTCTTTTTCCTTTTCAGACGCTGGGTTATGGGCAAATCAGAAAGCCAGATGGATATAACTGAAATGAATACTCCAAAACCAAAGAAAAAACTACGATGGAGTGGCCTGGAAATAGGGCTAGCTGTTGTAGCGATTCTGCTAGCTATTGTAGCGATCACAATGATAGTTCTGTACGCAACATATGACGGTGAGTACATGTAAATGGTCTTTGAAAGTGCAAATACATATGAATGTAACAGTATTTTAAGAAATTATGAAAAAAAGTTTTAATACATAGAATCCAGCTATTAGTATATGGTTAAAAACAATTGAAGTTGCACTATCAAATATTGTGTTAGAGAAGACTATTGCATGGTATATATAGATGAGCTACGTCAAGCATTAAGAAAATAAAATAATGAGGTCAGCTCGGAATTATTTGCCTGATAATAGAAAATTGTACCTTACCTAGTGTATAAAATTAGATGATTAATAGCTGCTACATCATAACCGTAATTCATATGTATGTCACTAGACAGTATGACACAATTATCTGAAATGTAAAGCTGCATCCACACTTATTATTGGTGGACACTGACGCAAAGCTGCTTTTTTCCAACTGGGACTCTATAATTTGTTCACGCAAAGTTGTGGTAAACACAAAACATCTGCTTGTTCTGACTTAGCAATACTTCTGTTTGTAATTAACGCTTCAGTAAGCAAAAAAACTCTACAAAATACAGCAGTGTTGAAGAAAACCAAACTACAGTGCTTCCTCTATATTCCTGTATATGTATGAAAATTTTATTTTTTCTTTTACAGGCTGTTGCAGCAAGGACTCTTAGTGTAATCATACTAAGAGATTTTGTGATTCAGCAGCCATACCAAAATACCTGAAAATAATTCCATTCAGGGGTAAATACCCTGATAATTTTTGGAAAGATAATACAGAGAAGCTAGAATTTCCATTTGGGATCAAACTAGAATGTTTCCTTACATTGGAAGTGAAATGCTTTGTTTCATTTTAAAATACTTAATCGTTTTGCTTAAACTTTTTATTATAGTCTTGTTCAATTATGGAATGGAAAAATGCCATTCTGAAATGAAAAATTAAAAAAAAAATGCTTTATTTCTAAAGTCTCAAAAGGAAACATTTTCGTGTTCCTGAACGTTGTGTTTTGTTTAGAAGACATCGGAGTGAATGTCTCAGAACTTGCATATAATTCCTCCAGAATCTTCTTGTCATTGTAAGGTATTGCTGAATGCAAACTGACTTTGCAACTGTCTTCAGTCCATGCGCTATTTTTCTCTAAATTTCTTCTTTGTTATAAAAATAATATTTTGCCCACCTCCAGTTGATTGATAGGACATTTTCCTCTGATGACTACAAAAATTCCACATGATGACTAGCACTGAATGACCTTAAAGGGATGAAGATGATGGTATTTTTAGAGTCTAGCCTATAAATATTCACTTACTGAGTGTAGAGTGTCCATTCGTCTTTATCTTACTGTATGCCGCAATTAAATGCAATTCTAAAGTGACTGTCAAAGAAAATAACTTACAGTAGGTTTTATTATATTGATATTCAGTAAAGAATTAAGAATATGATTGTATTCTCTTTTAGATGGTGTTTGCAAGACATCAGACTGTATAAAATCAGGTAAGAATAAAAATACATACCTTTTAAATTAATCTATGTATTTTTAAACAAAATTACCACCATGTAATGTTCCCATCTGACTGCAGACAAGTATGGCACATTGAGGCATGGGATCTTCTAACCCAAATAATTTTCTTAGCATAGCTCTTCTACAAATGTAAAATCTTGTGATGTGATATTGTGAGAACTTACAAAGTCATCAGGGTCTGGCTAGTTTAAGGCTTAGACTGTCCAAAGAATGCCTCTAGCTTCAGAAAATGCTTAAGTAAATCAGAAGATGGCTCTTCCCCACACACCCACCTCCAAGTCAGAATTCAACTAGAGGCTATGTCTCTAAAGAAGGTGCATTAAAAGAAAGTCTTGATTGTTGGTAGCCATTAAAGATGCCAAGCTACTGTTTGAGGAGATGCAATATTAATCTTCATGTTCAAAAACATTTCCAAATGCTATAGTCTGACAAGCTAACTTCATCCTTCAGTACCAACTGCATAAAAAATTCTTAGTTTACATCCTGGTCTGAACTATTCCTAGAAAGGTACTAAAATGTATCAGAGAAATGCGACGTTCCATACTGTATCCTCTTGTAGTAGGTAAAGTGGTAGTTACCCATGTTCTCCCTTTCCCGTCACTTATAGTTCTCTTACCCTTTCTATTTTGTCCTCCAGATTAATGCTGGTTTCCCTTTTTTGCCTTATTTACTTCTAAATGGCCCCATTCTCTTTATAACAATTCCTCCACCTCATTAATACAGACTGGTCCTAGGCTCAGAAGCAGCCTCTCTCCCTCATCCCGATGAAGAAAGGAGCATTTACCTGGCTGTGCCAACATATATTTCAAAGGGGCTCTGTGCCAGCCCTGCCCTTCTTTCTCCTTTCATGCCATTTCTGTGGTCAAACAGTTGACAGTTCTTGCAGCAGTCTTCTCCAAGTCAAGAGGAGAGCCCTACACTGGCAATGCATAATCACCTTCTTAAATCTGCGTACCCCTGTAACAGGTCTCTCTTGATTGTGTTTTTCTGGGAAGCATCTGAAGATGGAACCCCTGAAATCACTCTCTTGGTGTTACTTTCTGGCAGGCATTCCTCTTTTGCTTTCTCCACCCCTGTAGAAAAACTTGGCCACACAATTCACAAAGGCTGTAGCCCAGTCACAGAGGGTAGAAAGAAATCTAAAACAGAAGCTCAGAAAACAGATTGTTTCCCAGCCCCCACACTGTGACCTCTTGGCTTACCAAGCAAACATCTTGCATTTTGTTCAACTTTGGTAACCTCCCATTGAAAAGCATCATAAACATTCTAACAGCTATGTGTTGTCTTCATGTCAAGTGGAACTCATAACTTCTATGTAGATTCTGTACATCGTGACTGGCCCCCCTGGAGTTAAGAGGAAAGACAGCCCTAGGAGAAGCCAGAGACCCAGTTTGTCGATAGTAGACACAGGAGAGGTGGCAAGGAGTCATAAAGGATTTGACAGTCAACATGCAAGAAAAATGTATGTGGTTGCAAGCAAAAGTGTATGTAATTTAAATACGGTTCTTAAGGAATCTGAGGTGCACAGCACCCCATGGGAGGCTTCCAAAAGGTTTTGATTTGTAGGCCCTGTTTAGATTGCAGAAATGCCAGAAACAGTGTAGAAAGGTCATTATATTGCTTTCCTTACTTCTGTGAGACTACTCATTTTAGGTCTCAATTTAGGCAGTAGCCAAAGTAGCTAGGGTAGTTGCCCCCACACCTCAGTCCTGCTGGAGTCATCCATTGGTGAAGCTTCAATGAAGTCCATTGTTTCAATACCTGTGTATTGTCATCAGCACAGCCTAAATACCTTATAGGATTTATTTCAGGTGGTCATCACTGTCTTTTAGTTACAATTCGAAGGTGGTTTTCTGCTACTGTGAAAGCTCATGCTGTGGTTTGAAAAATGATCAAGTTAGTTATCTACTTGATTTTTTTTTTTAATCTGTGAAGATGCTCATTTTCAGCTAAATATTTATGCATATCTGTTAAAGAGAAGTTCAGCTAAACTATGAATGACCTCAAAAAGGAAAAGCAGTAGAAAGTTTGGAGAAATAAGGAGTAATGTAAACTGAAGATCTAGCAAGAGGTGGCAAAATTACTTCAGCTGAATAGTTCCACTCTTTTATGCTTCCATTAAAAGATTTAACAGCATACAAATATTTAAGGGAATAAATAAACATTCTTACTGAATGTTAGATTCTAAATACAGAAGTAAAAGTATGAAAGGATGACAGTAAGGACACTGATGGGGAAAAATGGCAGGCTTACAAAATTACATTATGTAAATATAACATGAAGAAGGAGCGTATTTTAAAAACACAAATTGCCTCAATTCAACAGAGATAATCATGAAATATAAAACGAGAAAAAAGGGTAGGTAGACTAAAACATCCCCAAAATAGCAGTGTGGTTCTAATGTCATAATCTCTTTTCTTTTTTCATTAAATACAGCTTTATTTTATTCACACATTTATATCATTTGCTCACTATCATCTGCCCTGTATTCTACAAATTGTCTAGTTCAAACATTGAAAGAATAAGTCCTAAAGAAATGATGAGAATTCAGTCTGAAAACATGTAAAATGCCAGGGTAATGCTATAAATGTATTCTATGTAAGAGTCTTCTACTGACAGGAAAATGAGCTACTTAACATCATAGAGCTTTTCTGCAATCCACGTTCGGCTGTCCTAGGAAAACTGATCCACTGCAGACAGGGGGACCACCCTTGTGAGTAACGGCTACTATGTGTGCAGGAACGGTGCACTCCAGCCCGGAACAGGCAAAATTTACAACTGGGCAAAAGATAGCTTTTGTACCTTACCAGGTGTTAATACTCAGTATTTACATACCATACTGTAAGAGTCCTGGGAGGCAACCAGGGTATCTGATTAAATTATAATCTTTATAATTGAGTTTTAGCTGTGGGGCTATACCTCAAATAAGATCTAAATAGCTGCAAAAGCAATGATGTCAAACTGGAACGCTTACTTCTGACCATACTACGATCTGCAGCGTTAGTATGTGTTTTTGCCTAGCAAGTGTCAATTACTAGAAGCAGCTAAACATCTGCATGGTCTGTTAGACTGTTGTAGCAATGAAATCTTACAGTGCCAGAAGCAGTTAGGAGCAGGGAGCCGCCACATGAAGTTTGGATGTGCTAGCCGTTACACAACTGTCAGCTCCAAATACTGCATCTGTCTGTAAATGACTTAGAATGGATAGCTCTAAGCAAAGTTGGGAATGACCGGTTTGAATTTAAAACTGTTATTTATTAACTGAGCCAGGATTTCTATGTCCCACCATGGTATAATGCATTTAAGGTAGAAATTGCTGTAGAAGTGTTGGGCCTTCTCCACACGCATGGCCATTAAATGAAATACAGTCAGATTATGAAAAAGGGAGGCAAGTGTTGGTAAGGACGTAATGACCTCGAAGACTTGTTCGATTAGGTGGTCACCAGAGTGAGGGACTTCTTGGCTCCAGAAGCAGAACACTGTGAGTGCAGAATGGTTTGCTGGCATCTGCTCAGGCCTTCAGAACTAAAAATAGTTCAAACAGTTTGTCATAATTATATAATTCAATAACAAAACAAATTAGTATTTAAAAAATGCAATGTAAAGTGCTTAAACCAGAGAAATAAATTGTATTATTACCATTTAATAATAATCTTACTGGGATGAATCTACAAGTTTAATATTACTTCAAATCAGGATTTTGTAACAGTTCATCTTTAACTTGGCTGCTTCTTCCAGATCATGTAGGACAACATACAGGAAAAGTTGGACAGATAGATACAGACAGAAAGCAAGAGTATTAACTTTGGAAAATTTATTGGGGTCTTTCAAGAAATATAATTGGGAATAGACATTAAGTGAAATGGTAATGCCTTACAACAGAACTGACCAATACTGTGGCAGTTTGTTTGCAAAGAATTTCAAAATTTTGTGATAGGTACAAGCCACTACAAAAGCATGAAGTGACGATACTGACAGAATTTGTAGTACATTTAATAAAGGAGCTTCAAATAAATGACCAGAAGAAAAAAAGTAATGGTAATTCAATTGGTCATACACAGGGTAAAAACACCAGTAACTGCATGATAATGTTATCAAGATTTGTGAAATCCACACAGGAAAATACCATGTAATTTGTACATTTGAGCATTTTTTTAATAGGCTGACAGTCTCTGCTAATTTTCCTGAGCTCAGACAGCAGAGCCTGGTAAGAATAGGGAATTTTGATCTCTGTCTCATCAGTTTCACCTAGGTAAGCATATTGTGTTTCTCCTGTATCCTCCTGAGGTCACTGGTTATTATGTCATCTTATATTACTTTATTTGTAAGCTATTAAAGCAACAACTGGCAATCAGGAATACTGTAATAAAATTAATCATTAAAAGTAATTGAGATAAGGCTCTACATTCTTCAGTGACAGGGAATTGAATAAACAACTGAGAATAGGAACAAACCCAAACCCTGGTTCATCAAAGCAATACTGAGGACTAATGAAAAGTATACCATGTAATATCTGTATTTGTACATGTATGAATTAACCTATGTTAAAATAAAATATTAATGTCTCACACTTACTATTTCCAGAGCAAAAATGTCTCAGTGTGTACAGCCATGAACTTTCCATAAAGCTTCTTTGGGCGCAAGTATCAACTTATAAATAGCTTTGAGCATGTTTAGGATTCTGTCTAGCCTAACCGGTCCTGCTGACTTTGAAGGGGCAATTCATGTGTCATTATGCTTCTGGGCTTGGTTGACAATATTTCACTGATTTTGATATATCCATGGTATCAGCCAAATAATGAATGGTTATCTTGGGGTTCAGATGTGCAAATTACACTCTTGAGGAGAGTACATTCTTGAGGAGAATACTTAATATATGTATTTTGCATGAAGCCCTAAGTGAAAGGCTACAGTTTCCATGACTGAACTCTTTCTGTTACGTTTGTGGTATTTAAACTTGAAGTTGATTAGCTAATATTGGCTAGCTGAGACTTTGCAGCAGAAATACTATGATAGATGATTATTTTTGTGTGACAGTAGTAGACAAGGAAGATTAAACAGATGCTGACTACAAATAGAGCAACCTGATTCCACAGTTAAAGCAAGGTTTGATATTACATAGACTGTTAATAATTTCTCAGATTTACACAAGTTTTGGGTTTCTTCTGGGCTTTGGTTTTGTTTTTTTTTTTTTGCAAAAGTGACCAGATGGTGGGTAAGAGCCATCTTTTCTTGGTGTTGGAAGATTTCTCTATCTTACCGTTACTTTTTGGCAGGGCTGGCACACTGCTCTGAATGAGCCAGCTGTGATGTCCAGTCCTGGCTATGAAAGTCTTTGTTGCTGGACTAACACATGCCAAGATAATCCAAGGCACAGTGTTGCCCCCAAATGCTGCTCCAGCCTAGCAGAGAGGTTCATAAGGATACCCTTAAAACAGATGTTAGTAATAATTAGCAATCTTCCTCTTTCACAGAAGATAGATGGAGCTAGGACAGGAATAAAGTGTGCCATTCAAAACATTACCCTTCCACTACATGAAATAGGACAAACTAGACAGAAACGAGTACCAAAGTTTACACAATCACAGAATAGGTGGGGTTGGAAGTGATCATACAGTCCAACAGTCCAGCTTAACTCAGGGTCAGCTAGAGGAAGTTGCTCAGGATCTTCTCCAGTCAAGTTTTGATTACTTCCCAGATGGAGACTTTGCAAGTTCCGTGGCAACCCCTTACAGTGTTTGACCACCCTTACAGTAAGAAGCTTCTTCGTAAGTTCAGAAGGATTTTTTTTTTCCTTATTGCTGTATGTGTTCATTGCCTCTTGTCCAAGTTTACAGGCAGAGGGGAAATTCCTTGCTCTAACAGGCTGGACAGTAGGGCTGGATGCTTGACTTTCTCAAGAATGGGTAGAAAGAAAGTGTCCAACTTAGTAAAAACATGACTGAATTTCACAATCTCTGGCTTTTGGCATGATCCTGTATCTTCTCAAATTGAAGTCAGCCAGCCATTGACTTCAGAAGGAAAAGAATCGGGTGCTAGGCATTGTACCTATTTCCGCAGTGGGTTTTATGCTACTGAAGCAGTCTAAAATTGAAAATGCATGTGTGTGTTTGTTGATTTTTCCATCTTCCAAGCACTGGAACATTGTAAAACCATCAGATGTTGGCCTCAAATATAACACACTTAAGCCAACTGAAGATCCCAAGACAAATGAGGGTAGGGGCAGGGGACAAGTCAACGTAAATACTATAGCCTGTCCATCCACCTCTCATTTCCACCAGCATAAGACATGGAAAATTTTGGAAGTACTGGAGAAATAACTATAAATATTTGACTTACCCACATGGGAGGAATGAACACTTGAAATCACAAGCCTCACCATTTACTAAAAATAATGTCTGAAAATGGGAAGGATATTCATTATCCTGGGAAATTCAGAGGTATCACTAGCTCTTGCTAGCCTCCTAGCATTTCTCCTTTCTGTGAGAGAATTTGTGCTAGCATACTAGTGGTGAAAGCAGTCTAAGTGGAACAGGAATACAAAAAAGAAAAAGCACAGAACATTTACAAACAGCAGCTGGAAAACTCTCATCAAGGCATCAGATTTCACTAGAGAACCCCATGTCGTGATCAGTCAGTGACTGGTTAGTCTTTGATGAGCCACTTCAAGAAGGTCAATAGGGATAGCAAGAGGCAGTATCAGTTCTAGAATAAAACCTGGAGTAGGTCTCAAAAATCAGTAGATTCAGGAAAGCAATAATAGGAAAAGTTTATTGACAAGAACTTAAGTGGTACAACAAAGTCATTATTTTACTGAAATAGATTGGATTCAGCTGAGCCAACATCATACTTAATTACTTAGATTACATTACAGTGGATACTTAACCTCTGATACGTCTTGTGCTTTTAATTTCTCCTTTCACAACTTTTCAATACACAGAAGTGTAAGTCAGTAAATGAAACATCTTACATTTTATTTAAAACTGAGCAACCACTCACAAGGAGTAGGAACATTAGTCAGTTTACCCATCAGTAAACCCAGGCAAGAGAAAAGTATGTGAGTTAAGGGCAGTAAAGGAATAGTAATTCATTGTTCACTGACTAGTACTTTGTTTGGTCTAAAACATTCAAGTACGAAATACTTGGACCTGTTGGAGCGGGGCCAGAGGAGGCCACAGCAATGCCCCGAGGGCTGGACCAGCTCTGCTGGGAGGACAGGCTGAGAGCACTGGGGGGGTTCAGCCTGGAGAAGAGAAGGCTCCACGGAGACCTTACTGCAGCCGGCCAGGACTGAAAGGGGGCTTAGGAGAAAGATGGGGACAGACTTTTTAGCAGGGCCTGTAGCAATAGGACAAGGGGTAATGGTTTTAAACTAAAAGAGGGGAGATTTAGACTAAATGTAAGGATGAAATTTCTCACAAGGAGGGTGGTGAAACCCTGGCCCAGGTTGCCCAGAGAGGTGGTAGATGCCCCATCCCTGGAAACATCCCAGGTCAGGCTGGACGGGGCTCTGAGCAACCTGCTCTAGTTGAAGATGTCCCTGCTCACTGCAGGGGGTTGGACCAAATGGCTTTAAAGGTCCCTTCCAACACAAACTGTTCAATGATTCTATGATTCCATTCTAAACTAAAGGAAATATATTTATTACATTCCTCTTCAGAGCAAACAAATGTATTAATTTATTTTCTGTAAAGACTCTCTATGCCTTGATTTGTTTCGTATTACAGCAGCCCGAATCCTTGAGAACATGGACACCACTGCAGAGCCTTGTAATGATTTTTACCAATATGCCTGTGGAGGATGGCTTAAGAGGAACGTCATTCCAGAAACCAGCTCCCGTTATAGTAACTTTGACATTTTAAGAGATGAACTAGAAGTTGTTCTAAAAGGTCAGTGGCATTTATGTTTGTGGACTATATAAAGTTTCTTCTTTGGCTTACATGTTATTCTAATAAGATGTGGTTGTCTAGCAAAGCTTAAAATACTACCAAATATTTCAGTTTCTTTCTGTTCAGTTCAGGACAAATCTACCACAAACTGTTTTCTTGGAGAATGCTGTGGAAGTTATGCTGTTGTGTCTGACACTGGAGCGGACTTGACCAGACCTGACCTTTCTGGTATCTGGACTCTATGTGCTCATCTGCATATTGTAACAGCTGAAATCCATATCATTACCCTCATGCACTAACAATAGCAGCCAAGATAGGTGAAGAAGAAAGAGGTCTGCCTGTGTCCAAGTCAGCTGAAATGCTGGAAGTTGCTCTGGCAGCCCAGTGTCTTGCATATCTATATTCCATCAGCTAAATCCCAAAGAGCCGGCAGGCAATTTTCTAACTAGTCACATCATAAACTTACAAATGTTCCTTTTTCCACAAAATGTAATAGTGTCAAATTGTCCATATTCCTCTTTTTCATATGAAAATAGCAGAGTCAAAGAAGTCAGTTTATACTCATGAAACGTTCTCCAAACCACCCTCTCCAGACTGAATAACCTTTTTTTACTTGGCGTATCTTCTGGATTTGCCAGGTTTGCAGTGTATGGATGCCATGGTGTTCCTTAGGCTCCAGTTTCTGTGGAGCAAAGCAACTGCAAAGTAGTCATTGGAGTAACTGTAAAGTAGTGGCAAGAGTGGGGCTGCCCCACAAGGGAAGGCGAGCCCGGAGCTGACTGTGACTCGAGGCAGGCAGGGACAGAGGCCTCACAGATCAGGGGCTCAGTCCCACAGGACCCAAACCAGAAGAGTGCAGCAGGTCCAGTGACAGTGACTGAGTACGACCAACAGCCCCACAATGACCAGACAAGTCCATAGTCATGCAGCAGGTCTCAGGCCAGGCAGGCAGGCAAGGTCCAGCATACCTACCAGAGTGTGGGCAAGGGGCTGACAACCAACAGGCATAGGGTGCACAAGTGAAGGCACCAGATGAGGCTTCTTACGGCTCTTTCTTACAATTTAGCTGTTTTCACAGAAGTACGATCCAGCATCACACAGCTTGCACCATACCAAGGCAGACCTTGAACACAAAACAGCTAAACTCCTGGCTGCAGTGAAGAGATTGCAGGTTAGAATTACAGGAAAAGATGGTTACAGGCTGGTCAGTGCAGTTAGAGCCTGGTAGTACACGTAGGGCCCTGACAGCAAGTCTCTTCACACAATAGCTTGGTCACCTAAAACTGTCCCTGAAAAGTCAGAGCATTTGTATTTTGTCAGGGGTGATCCACAGGGTATCTGACTCCTTTATGCTCAACATATTAAGACAGACTGATGTAATTGCAAGCCATATACTCTCCAGAGCTTTTCCTCCTCAGCTTTTGAAAGGCAAAGCTTCCCTGGAATTTGAGATGGATGTGGAGTACTACTATCCACCCTCTGGTCCTCAGGATGGTATCCACTATGGTTCCTTCAGTACCTTTCCAATAAAGATCAGACATTAAGGTATATTTGTGGTCTGTGTGTTTCAGATGTCCTCGACACACCAAGCAGTAATGATATAACAGCAGTGCAGAAGGCAAAAACTCTGTATAGATCGTGCATAAATGAAAGTAAGTGTCTCCTGAAGTTTTTGCACATAGGATATATAAATACCATCCACAGACTCCCACCTTCACAGTCAGCTATACCTATATCCTCCTAGTTTCTGTGCATAATCTTTCAGAAATTCTTCACAAAAACTAAGTGTATCCATTCTATAGAGTCAAATGAAAATGCAAATAGTAAAATCAGTATTGCATCTCCTGTTTTACTAGCTTTGATATTTTAGGTGAGATTACATTACTCTTCAGTTATCAGTTTGCTGTAGATATTTAAACTCAAATCCTTTCAGTTAAATGTGGGTTAACTTTTGTAGAAATTATCAGGGATGAGGTGGAAAATAACTGGCATACCAGGCTTCTAGGAAGACAGGGAGATCATTTATTTCAAGAGTTTGAGCTAGATGCTGACACTAGAATGAGAAGCAGTAAAACAGTTAGCAGTGCTTCCTAAATCATGTTTTTATAGTTTCTATAATATTATTAATACTTCTTAAAACTATTATTTCAAGCTATCTGCAGAATGAAAATACAGTTGTTCTTCAATGTCACAGTCACAAGGATTTACATATGCTGTTTGCAGTCATGACTGAAACAGTTTTTTAATTAAATGTTAAAGCACAGTCATACATCAGAGCATACTCCTATTGTGGTGGTATACTCATATATTATAACTCATTATAATAGTATAACATTTGTGTATTTTAAAGTGTCATGGTAACTCATTTTATTTTTCCCAAAAGCTACCATTGATAGCAGAGGTGGAAGGCCTTTAATCAGTTTATTGCCACAAGTATCTGACTGGCCTGTAGCAACAACTAACTGGGATTCTTCCTATGGTAAGATAATCTGTGCTTATTTCCTTTTCAGTTAAAATTTCTCAATTACTGTACTTCTCATTGCTTACCAAAAATACAGACTGAGTATACCTTTCATTTGCTTAGGTACTGCTTGGACAGCTGAGACAGCTATTGCACAGCTGAACTCCAGATACGGAAAAAAGGTCCTTATTAATTTTTTTGTTGGCACAGATGATAAAAATTCCACAGCACACATCATTCATGTAAGTCTCCCTGGGTGGCATTGCCTTGTTGATCATAAAAGTGCAGCAAAATAGCTAGAAGCATAGACATAAATGTTAGTCAGGAGAAACATCAGTGATTTGCATTTTACCTAAGTTGTAGATTTATTTGTGCATCTATGTAGTTTTCAAACTTAAATTACCAGTTTCACAGTGCACTGTCCGTTCTCAAAGTTAACATCTTTATTCCGTGCACTCATACACTGTTATTCTCCAGTGAGATGAGAATAATTGTGACATATATAGACATACAGACACAATTTATGTGTATGCTGGACAGAAGACAGACATGATCTACTTATATATGCATGCAAGCAAATAAGTAAACATGATCTCCTTACCATGTACTTCAGGCAGAAATCTCTGTCACTGAAAACCTGGGCTATGGTCCCAATGGCAGAAAGCCCACAAGAGGGTTGTGTTTTTACAAGGTATTCAGATGCCAAAGTACTAACGGGACCTGCAGTCAGCTGGCACAGCTATGAAAGTGGCTGAGGACATTTGCATAAGGAGTATGTCGAGAGTGCCCTACCTGTAAGTGTAAGACGATCTCTGAAAATGGAAAACCCAGAGGAAGACAGTATTACACGTGGTGAATCTTCACCAGCTACTTCTGAGGCGCAACAGTTACAAGAGCAAAGGTCTAATCTTTCTTGTCAATAGGTAGATAGATCCTTGACTACGTTGCATGTGTGAGTTCCAAAGATGCAGTAACTGCCTTGCTTGTCTGTGGACTCTTTTGTCTTCTGTACATCCACTGTTTTCACACTGGTTACGCATAGCATGCATTGTTCAGCAACAGAAAAGAAAAAGACTGAAAAGAAAGACAGGAAGTGTAAGGAGAGTGAAAAGAGGGAAAGGAGGGGAACAGGGTGAGAGGGAAACTCCCCTTTGGCCAGAAGATAATTTGGCAAGAATGAAGCATCAGCAACCTGTCATTGACAAAATAATAATACAATGCTATGCCATTTTGTCCTTAAGCACTTTTTAATTTTTATTTCCATTTATAGATTGATCAGCCTGGGCTTGGCCTGCCTTCTCGTGACTACTACGAATGCACTGGTGCATATAAAGAGGTAAAATGAAGCTGACGGATCACTGACTAGATTTTAGAAGTTTTAGCCTGTATTTTCAAGCCAGACATAGCCTCAAGAGTGGGAATAGACAAAGAGCAGGAACAGTCCTTCCCCAAAGAGATTCCAGTACTGCCTCTGGGACACATCACTGGGAGAACTGGGGAAACTGGAATAGAAAGGTAATAGTGATGAGCATTTAAACAAGGTTGATCTGCAGGTGAGACTAGCATGTGTGACAGATTGGAGAAAGACGTTCTAACATGGGTAGGCGCGCAAGACAGCAGGAGAGCTGAAAGAGAATACAGAGGAATTAGATTAAGGGCAAGTAGAAATAAGTTAGCTAAGAATGGGAGGGAGTGTAACAAGTGTCCTGAAGATGACGTGTTACAATACTATGCCATAAGTATTAGTGACCTAGTTTGATCTTCCTGGCAGCACTAGGAGCCAAGGGGGTTTTGTCTAGGCTCCAGTTGCCAGTACATACCAATTGTCTCTGCACCAGATGAGAAGACTGCATGTTCCTCTGGCATCACTACACCCCAGACATCCACACAGTCTGCCTTCCTGTGTCCCTTCTCTTCCGTTCTTCTTGTAATCGCTGAACATGTATGTGGAAGAAAAGTACTAGCTTTTCCAGGCCATTCCTGTATGATTATGCAAGTCAGAAGAGGGACAGCTACTTGATGTTTTAGGACCTCTTGGAAAGAGATAAACAAGACAAAATTTGTTATACAACTTCTGCCAGGCTTCACAGCTGTATCAAGAGATACCTCATAACTGACAAAGTTGTATTAAGATAGAACATGAGTGCTTATGGATCACCCCTGTTCTGTCACCACAGAAAGGATGCCATTTCTGAACTACGATCGATTGGCAAGTGCTGCAGGTGTCAGTGGAGTCCAGGTGGACTACTTGTATCACTAATGGGCTTAGAAAGGAAAAAAGAATCATTCAGAACCAAAGACACACTTTTCTGCATGAAAGATCTGAAAAGATCACAGTCCCCTAAGTCAGCTGCTGAATGAAAATGCAGTAGCTAAAGTATGTGATATCATAGAAATTGCTTCAGATACCTAAAATTTCATACGAATTTCATATGATCTTCTTTAATTCATGTTTAGTTATTATTCGTATGCACTTTCATTAACCTGTTAGCACTGACACTGTGTATCCCTTGTCACTAATCTTCGATGTGCTTTAAGTGCTTGAGAGCTGAAGTATGTGTATTTGCTGAAGTCATGTAGCTGAAACTGCTACCACAGTAGCCTTTAATTAGCCAGTTTTCTTCCATGTAATTAAATGCAGAAGCGATGAGAAAGCATACAAAACATTTTGGTTTTGTAGGTATTTTGCTGACTCGCTAACAGTTAATACTCTAATACTGATTATATTTAATTACAGTTCATATGCTAGTAAAGACAATCATTACCGTATTAACTGTTGTTACATTATTATCACATGTTTTTTGGCCTCTAGGAGCTGGGTCATGTATCACAGTTTGCTCCCTTCCTTGTATTACAGCCACTGCAGCACTAAAAGACAATTCCCATTCTAATCTCTGACCTACCTGAAAGTATCATACTACTTTCCACTGCTGGAAAGTAGAGGAGGAAGTATTTTAAAAAACCCAGAGATTTATCTCTGAAAGGCAGATTCAAAACATTCTTACAAGCATGAATACTTCAAGCGAGATACGTTTCTCCTTTCAATCCCTGCACTCTGATAGCAGCCTTTTCTTGGCTTTGTGTCCTGCTGTGTCATTCTACTCTGAGCTGTACCTAGCAAACAAGGTATTTGCCTCCTGCACTTTAACCTCTGGCTTTGTCAGGACTTCCCACCACAAAGCTACAAGTGGAATCTGTGAACAAGGTATTTTTTAAATCTTTTGTAGGATATATGACTCCTCTGCTCATACAGGAGTTATTCTGACGTCTAAGTTCCCACTAAAATATCTGAGAGTATATATACAGTCCATCTGAAATTAGCTGACTTAGTTCTTTGCTACCTGACCATACAATGATCTGCACTTTAGGCTAAAAATAAAGTCCATTGTTTGGTACCTGAAGACCTCTGTCGACTGACAGGTTTGGGGTGATGTCAGTACTGAATTTTTATAAATTGTATTTGGATACTTTAAAATGGTATTTACAGTCTTGGTATGCACTGTCTTCTGTGACTTTTAGCTGTCATTGGTTTCATGAGCTTTTCTCTTTCTGGTAAAATAATCTCTCTCAATTAAAAATAACACTTCAGGATGCTGTGAGGCACCTGTCTTTTTGAAGTCTGCTGTCAGGACTTCTCATGAGCTGCTCAGAGTCTTCCAGCGCACCCCGCTGTTAGAGCACAGCACTGTTGGTAGGTAGGAGAGGCTGACAGGAGATGGATGGCAAGGAAGGTAGTTATCAAAATGGCTGTAAAAATGTAGCACTCGTTAAAGGGGTGCATCCTGCTGCCTCAGGAGCTGAACATACTAAAATATTTCTATTAATAAAGTTGATGACATGCACATCTTATTAATCCTAAGTTTTATCACTGTTTTAGTAATTATGCTATTTTGCATAAAATAGATTTATTATTAGATAGCTAATCTAATATTATGGGCTTTTATTTGCACTTAAGAAGCATATTGAAAACAGCATTTCTGTTGATAGAAAAATGAGTGTGGCTTAAAGAGGAATTAGAAGTATTAAGTTCCATAAAATATAATGAGATCTGTAGATACTTAGTGTAACATTTAAGACACTATAATTCCATGTTTCCATTCTTATCCTTGGTGAATTCTGATATGTTAATTTTAATATATACTATATTGTCTATAGTATATCTCGGTATACTAAATTCAGATACAGCAACATGATTTCTAAATGTTTCAAGAAGCAATTGAGGAGGTACACTGCTTCTGGGAGTAGTTTTCCCACAATGCTAATTCAATACAGTCCATCAGCATTTCACTCGGTTTTATGTTTCTGGGAACATTGCTCTTTGGAAACGGTATTTTTGGAAGATGTAATTAAAGTGAGCTAGAAAAAACATGGGTGATGGTTTAAATATGGACGTACAAATGTCTCATTTTAAATAATGAAAACACAGTGCAGTAGTTGAGTCTGTTTAGCTTTGAACAGTGCTACAAATTATATAGCAGTTTTCCATGAGGGAATTTTCAAAGTTAATTTCTATTTATGATCTAACAGCATTTCAGAATAAATTACTATTAAACTATTTAAGAAAGGGATGAAGAACTATAGTACATAAAAATGAAGATGAAATCTTAAAGATAATCAAGATATGCTATACTTTGAAGAGTTTTGTCTTTAAAATGTATGTATTTTTTCCTGCAGGCATGTTCTGCCTATGTTGATTTCATGATTTCTGTAGCTAAATTAATCCTACAAGAAAGAAATATTTCTTTCAATGAGAGCGAGATTTCTGAACAAATGAAAAGAGTTATGGACCTGGAGAAAGAGATTGCCAATGTAAGAAAAACATTTTTAAAGTATCCTTTAAATAAGTGACTTTTTTCTTAATACCTAAGAAAGCTAACTGTAAGCTAAGTTACTTGCTAATCCTATTTTGTGGGACCAAAAGCTGTCCAAAAATGTATGGGGCGTGGAACACCTAAGAGGAACATACAGTAAAAAAGACATGCCTTCTAAGGAGCAAGGGAAAATATTTGAGTTAGCTGTTTTCCAAATAGCAAAATGTTTTCTCCTAATCTGTTCACAGAAGCCCTTCAAGAGAAAAAAGAGAGAGCAAAAGAGAGAAAGACTTGGTTTGTGTTTAGTCTGTTTCAGAAAGTGAGTTTTGGGCGATGCTTTCAGGCCTCTTCTCTCTTTGTCCTGTTTTCCCTGTGGGCTGTTTGGTTATTCCCAACCCTTGGCCTGCCATGCAACACAAAGTCATGTTTGTCCTGCACAAGCTGCTCCACAATGCTGATAGTTCCAAGTGCATTGTTAATTAAATGCGGTTCTCCACTAAAGTATGGCATGGAGAAATAGCTAGAATTTCAACTTGCACAGAGAAAAACAAATGGAAATTCAGGCATTCATGAGCAAAAATGTGGCTTATGATTATTAAACATTTCAGAAGCTGAGGATGTGTGTAAAACAAGCCAAATACAAGCTTTCTAGCTTCAGCTACTTTTCAAGTTGCACTGATAGTAAGGGCACATGTTTGGCAGAGGAAAGCCTTCCCCCCATTTGTATAAACTAAAACCATCTGATTTTGATTTTCTTCACATTTTCCTGAGAAACACACCTCTGTGCTTAAATCAGAGATGAAAAATTATTACAAGAAAAGGAATTAATTGGAGAAATATTAGAAGGGGAGTACAAAAGGAAAACACAACTGAAATGTGTCTACAGCAGTTGCTGCTGGTAGAGAGTACAGCTGGTGGTGGGTAAGCTGCTATTGCCTCACTTTTTAACCTCTTTCATCAAAAAAAGCACCAGTCTGAACATTACTGGAAGATAGCTGGCATTGTGCTCTTGGGAATTCATTAAAGAAAAGGCCGAAGAATTACTGAATGCACAACAGATTAAGGAAGAGGACGCAGAGAGAAATCTTTCTTAAAAAAGGATAGAGAAATATAAAAACAGACTTGGCATGACTGATTTTTCAAAGCAGTTTAAATGGGTAAACTCTACTCTTCTTGTTCCTGACCGAGCCAGTTAAGAGTACTTGAGGCAGTAGTGATGTAGGTTTGCCCGTGAATTACTCTCATGGATCACAAGATCACTCTTTTCCCATAGTCATTTGTGTACCCGCATTTTCTCTTTGTCATCAATAAACGTGGAAGTTAAAAGGGGGTGGAGTATGAGGGGAGCACGTGCTGATGCTATCACAAAGGTACTTATGCATGAGAGCAAAGCTCTGAAAGAGGATACAAGAATGCACTTCAGAAACCTGCAGAAGCATCCTAGCAAGGGACACACTAGTTTGAGGGAAAGAACAGAAAGATATCCAAGAACAGAGACCAAGGGAGTAGTTACCATGAGGTGCTGGTTTTGCCTCCTCTCAGTCTACCTTGTCCGCACCCTAATTCCAGAGACCTCCCTTCTGACACTTGCTGTCTAGAGACTCCAGTGACACCACCACGGACACAGCTCTCTGTCAGTCAGGCAGTTTTATTGTCTATAAGAAATGGCCCTAATACAGTCATGCCATTAAGGTGATAACGTATGCACATTGTTAACATGCTGGTGCAAAACCACATTGCCTAGAATAATACAAAGCTTATTTGAGTTCTGACTCCCTTTCTATACAGTGGTTCCAGAAAGAACACATCAGATAGGTAGCACACACATCCTGATCAGAGTGCTCACACTGCATTCCCACCACAGCATACTGGTCACCCTGTACTCAATAAATACATCTCCTTTATTCCCTTCTCCCAGAATTTTGCACCTTGCATCATTCCATGAATATCATGAGCACTTTCTTGTGTTGAGTGTATCTATTGGTAGGTAACAGTGTCTACTCAGTGCTTTGAGCGGTCTATGTTCCAATCAGTGTTCCTGCACTGCCTGAGTTTTTGATGCTCTTAACAGAAAACAAATCCAAAAAGTAAGCTCCATTTTACTGTCAGAAACTTAGTTTATTTAATCTTTTATATGCTTTTTAATTTGTGAAATGCTGTCCATATTTACATGTAAGGTACTTTACAGTTAATGCAAACATATGTATTAATGTAATGTATTAAGCCAGAAATACTCACTTTCTTCTTGTTACTTCCACTTGCAAAAATTCCTGTGAACTGACTCAATGTGGTTAATAATTTTCTCATGATTAACTTTGATTGATAGGCAACAACAAAACCTGAAGACAGAAATGATCCACTTTTGCTGTACAATAAAATGACCTTGGCACAACTCCAAAAAAACTTCTCATTGGAAATCAATCATAAGGTGAGTGATCCATAATCTGATACTTTAACTTCTAATTTATGACTGATGAGATTAAACAATGAAGCCTGACAGTTTCTTTTAAAGACAGTTCTTGAGCTTAGACGTATTTGAAATTGAACAGGATACCCGGTGTGCACACTATATGACCTAAACATCTGGAGACATTAAGCTGTATGTAAAAGACTGTGCTCTGTACCCACTGTTTCTAACTTGAAGGCAGATCTTGCCCTCTGCTTCAACACGAAGAGATGGAAAACGACAAAGGAAAAAACCCCACCATGAGTTTGACTTATCCTCATGGATTCAGATGGTAAATCTTGCAAAATTTGCACATATATAACCCTTGCTGGAAATCAGGAGAGTATTCTTTGCACAGTACAAATAAATTCCCTTCCTGTAATTACCACAGCAGCTCCAGAGGGCCTAGGACAACAGTTAAGACTCTAGCCACCAATTGATTCAAATGTGTTGTAGTGTGACCACTCAGGCCCGCTCTGTTTATCCAGAGCTGCAGATTCAGAACAAGAAGTCCCGTTTTTCCAACATTTCCGCTGTAAGATGGGCTCCCAACGGAAGCGGAAAGGAGCCCAGGAAGTCATGACTATGAATTGGGAAGGTTCTCCCCATTCCTCCCACTGCAGCTCCCCCAGCATGTTTCAGCTCTGCCTTTTCTCTTATCCTGATCCATGTGCCATTTGTGCAGTGTAACCTTTAATTCATGTCACCACAAAGTCCATCTAAAGAATGGCTAAAGATTTGATAACGTAGTTTTATCACAAATGATTTCTACATCAGTACCTTGCACGACAGGCAAGCAGGTGAACTAATGATGTGTCACATGGAAAGCACTGTGGTCTGACTGGCAGGAGTGCATTATTGAGTCTTTTGAGGCAGTAAGATACTATGAAATACTATTATTCCTACCACAACTTCATAATCACTGCTATTTTTATTGACTTTAAATTCTTCAACTTTAAATTATGTGACAGTTCACTTCTGCCTAGCTTAATTTGTTTCATGATTTACCTTCTCCCACAGGTCTTAGTTGAACAGCTACCATTACAGTCAAAATGTCAGAAACTAACTTCTGTTGTCACAGAATGGTATTGCCATGGTTATTTTTAGTTCCTGGGGAGTGCTGCAGATCAGCAATAATCATCTGCTCTAAATTTATCCAAAAATGCTCAAAAGACACATGATGGGAGTTGGTAGCATTGTTGTAATGGTCTAAGGATAGAACAGTAATTATTCCTAAGATTAGCTTGAAGTTTGCTGCTTCTCTTTCAAACCTGAAGTGATGCTATTCCTGAAAGCTTATCTGCTTTCCTCAGCTACATTAGTTTGTCTGATGAAAGACATCATTACCTTTCTAATAAAACTTTCCTCTCAAAAGATACAGACTGGGAAAAATCACCAATACTTTTCAAAGTAATAGGCATAAAAAAAAAAATTAACAAAAAAAATTTATGAAAAAAGTACAAATATTATTTGCTTTTCTTAAATGTAACTCCTTCCTTTTCGTTACTAAAATGAGTACCTACCCAGTGTGGTAAGAGCACTGAGTAGCTTGAGAGTTTTGATGATTATTTGCAGCTTCTGTTCTGAACCACTTTCTCAGTCAAATGGTGGTCTGCAGAAGCCATGGATTAGCAAACCTTGGGCCAATATGGAGAATTTGAAGCAGTGTGTATAGAGTTAGCTGTAACATCAGTGTCATTTACTAAAAAATGAATGGGGAAATTGGAGGAATATGTAACATTGTACAATCTACAGTATTCCAAGGGGAAGGATCTGTCTCTTTCAGTGGGTACCATGCAGAGGAAGGCAAGTAACACACTTAATACTTGTGAAAATACTTAGCTTGACATCAGCTGCAGGTGTGAACTTCCTGGGTAGGGGAATGCAGAGTTTGCAATCTCCCATGAATACTACTCTGTTGCTTTGGGTTCTGTGCCAGAGGAACAGCAACGTGGTTGCACGCAGTCTGGCTTCTTTGCCCCGTACAGCACGGCTGCAAGGCTCGGATCCCAGTGCTGCGCAGCGGGCAGTGACCACAGTCTGCGTTCTCTTAGTGACTCCGTGTTCTTCAGTCAGTCCCTTGACCCATCTACTGTCTCAGGCACATGATATTACTAACCAAAGACTTAGCAAAGGGAAATAAATTTTTCTCATCAGCAACCTAGTAAGAGTTGCCGGCTGAGAGTGCCCATGCACTAAAATAATGCTCTGTTCAGACTAGGTAGACACTACAGAATGAGAACTTAACCAAAAAGAATTTTCATAGGCACTGGGTCATGAAAGTAATGTGGGCCTCTCACAAAGGTGAACACCAGCTTAAAGAAAATCGGCTTAGGACCAGAGAGGCAGGAAACGAACATGAACTCTCCATCTGAGGTTCGTCTGTCACAGCGCTGCAGGCTGACCTGCTCACCAGTCAGTTGCTTCTCCGGTATCTCGTACTGCGGCATGCAGAGGAAAGTGCATTATAGCTACTGCCTCTAGTGTGTCTGTGTTAAAGCCTATTAAAATAAAGCCTTTTATGGACTTCAGAGTGCTTCAGGACAAGTCCTCACCATATGCTTCAGAACGGATTGTCAAATATACTAACAAATCTTACAGCTCCATAGATACAGAGATATATACTCTACTGAAAATCAGGCTTTGGGGCTTTTAATCATGCTTTGATTTAAAAGTTCTTAGCCAAATGCAGCAGAAAGGCAACTGAAAATTTTACTTCATGTACCATTTCTGCTTTTCCAGGCTAAAAGGAAGGGGTTGTAACATTAATTGTGTTAGTCTGAAATCAAAACAATGTCTCGACCCTTTCTGCTAAATACCACCCTATTTTAATAGGATTTCAGAGCACAGAGGATATAAATTATCTCAGATATGGCTCCATTTACAAGTAGCGCAGCTATTAGGAAAACTAAAGGCAGAGCATTTGTGTTATGCAAACATATTTAAACTGGAAAAAACAGCTAAGTACTATTTCTTTATGATTTAACCATGTAATACTGTGTATTGATTTTCCAGGTATTCAGTTGGTCAAAATTCATAAATGATATAATGTCAACTGTGCAAATTAACATTGAGAACACCGAACATGTCATTGTTTATGATCCAGAATACCTTATCAGGCTGAAGTCTATTCTTAATAAATACACTCCCAGGTAGGTATATTAGGTATTTTTGTAATTTGCATTTTGTTTCCAATAAAATTCAAAAGCCCAAAAACATTAACAGCTTATTATTGTTGTTTTGTTAAACAGAGACCTTCAAAATTACATGATCTGGCGATTTGTAATGGATCTTGTTAACAGCCTAAGCCGTAACTACAAGGACACAAGGAATGCTTTCCGTAAGGTGCAGAAATTAATCTCTTACTTTTTAAGTTGTAAAGATGATTTTTGTGAACCATAAAAAGATAATTTTTAATGTAGTATGTAAAAATTTAATGTATTTTGAATTTTGCACACAAAAGCTAGATGTGTTTGCTGAAGCTTCTGCTGGAGTGTACACGTAATTTATATGATATATGCTCAATAGCTGGAGTGGATTTCAAAAGCACTGTTCTGGTACTTTGTCTCCATGTTTTTCTGAATCTAAATTAATCCCCATTTTGATAACAGAACAGTCCCATTTATTTGCAAATTACTACAGTTCTGACTGATTTGTTACAAACTCTTCAGCATCCAAAGTAATAGATTCAAAGTCAAACACTATGGGCCCAATCTTGTTTTTCAATCATTTGAAATATCTGATCCTGACGATACTCTTTGAAGGAAATGCTGAGCAACTTCACAAACAGATTGGAGATGGAAGTCCTTTGTATTTGCACAGTAGAACTTTCTACTTTGTAAGTTTGCTGAGCTCCATTAAAAAAGGTTAAGGCCATTTTCTTATATCTGTTAGTGACATAATAAGCACTTTTACACTGATACGCAGCTTTTTAAGGAGTTTCTGCTTGTTACAGAAAAAGATAGTCATTACTGGAGAAGTTGACAAATGTTCAGTTTGGTCAGTTTTATATATCTAAACAGGGCAGTCTTATTCATTGATTATTTGTCTTTTTTCCCTACTCTTTAAAGTATGAAACTATTTTAATATAAAGCTTCATATTTGCTTAATCAGTATCATCAGGGAATACTATATTTTCCACTCTAGAAACAAAAGTCATCCCCCACTACATCTTAAGACTTCACTGAGGAATTTTCATTTAGAAAAATGTCATGTTTGAAGGAACAACAGAAAAAGATTTTACCATAGTCTGTGTATAGAAACATACAGTTGCCTGATAATTAATAATATATGATACAGTATAGCTGGAGCTTCTCACACTAAGTGCAGTTAGGTTTGCTTTCAAATATAAATGTTAGGACAGTTACACCATTCCATGAATCTCCCATTCCATTTTTCTTCTAGGTTGTGTGGCTAATTGGTCACTTACTCATCCAAAACTCCATTTGCTCTAAATACAGATTGCTTAAAATGTGCTACAGAAAGTACCAGAGTCCTAGCAGAAGGATCATTGGATCTGCAACTACCTCCTTAAGAAATTAGCGAAAAGATCTCAACAGATGACTAGACTGCATGTGTAAATGGGCGTATATGTGTAACTGAGGGGCTATGCTGTCACCCTAAATCACTTTCTTTGGTTCTCCATCTCAGGGTCAAATTGTCAGTGTTCACTCTAACATTGACGGTTGGACTTGATGATCTTAAAGGTCTTTTCCAACCTTAATGATTCTGTCATTTGTTCAAAATTGTGCCCTTCCAGCACATCCACTGTCAAGAAGCCCAGATATGGGGGTGGAAGAGCATGCAGAGTACTGTCATGACACTAGTTTAGTACTTACAGCTTCTGGGACTGTATCCTCAGCATACAGTTACTCCCACCAAACAAACAGATCAGTATCTTTCTTTTTTCACACGATTTGTTTAAAGGCAAAAAAATTCCATTTCTTGCGATTGTAGTTGAGAATTTATGGCCCATGAGGTCCAATTTCAGATGTGTCAGCATGGTACATGTACGAATCCACAGTAATGCATTTAAATTGCATGTTATTTTTACTAATAAGCAGGTACGTTTCCGTTGCTGTAGAAGATACCACTTTGGTCTTTCTTGTGCACCTCTGGTGGCACTAGGCTTACTTAAAAAGAGTCTAACTCAAGGTTCCTGTGGAGGGCCATCCTGGTCTGGTACAAGTCCACCATGGTCTCAAGTAGCCCTCAAAGTGAACTATGATTTGAGCAGCACAAAGTGATCTACCAGATTCTTCATTGCACAGTCACTCTGAATTAGTTTCTGAATTAGTTACTATTTTAATTAAGCTCAGTAGTGCTAATGTTTATTACTGGTTTTGCTTTAAGTTCAGGGGGAGAGGGGTTGTATTTACGTTTGCTATATAAGCAAATGATTACTGATGCAACCTGTTTGTGTGCAGGGAGCATCTAAGAAAGAAAGAGGTTAAGGATGACAGATTTTCTAGTCTGTTCAGCTATTTGTCAGTAATGAGTTACAAAAAAGCTCCAACATCACAGGCTCTTCAGGGAGACCTGCAGCAGACATCTCTGAGCTGTGTTGTACTGGTAACATTTTCAAAAGACCATTCCTGTGCCCCTAATGCTTTAGAGTGAAAAGAAACATTATTTTACTAGTAATTCAGTTCAAGGCGTAGCAGAGCTTTTAACACCAAAAGTCATTGATCTGTACCTCTGAAGAGATGGGTAGCTGCTTCATTGTGGAATATAAACTTCATTATAGAATGTGATTTCAGAGAATTGCACTATAATGACAGTGTCTGCTATATTCCTTGCATTCAGGTGTCATTCTGTTATATTACCCACTCAGCTTTATCACATATTTGTCCATTATCATGACAAAATCCTTGCATACCTTCTAGCAACATCACATAGAGTAAATGAGCTTCTACTTTGCAAGCTCCCAAAGGTGGGACGCTCTGACAGAAGCTGCTAGTTTGGTAGAAAACACAATCCTGCCACTGCAGGAATTAATTTGCTGCATAATCAGAAGGGCCCTGTCAGAGCTGGAACTGCAATACAGATCCCTGTTACACTGAAAGCTTTGTGTCAGGGTGTTCCTTTTTAACATCTCCATTCTTAGAGTAGTTTCCTTCTCTCTACCTTTTTAAAGGATAAAGAATATTGCTAATGATTCTCGTATGTCCTCAGCCTGTGACAGACGCTCCCATTACAGAGTGAGTCCACCTAACTGTCATAAACATAAATGTGAATTAAGTGCATGTATTTAAGGATGACTAGGCTCCTCTGAAACACACATCTGCCAGTCAGGCACCATTCTCCTTCACCTTCTGTGGGCCCAGATGTCACTGTTTTACCTAATGTTTATATTTCACAGGCACTTTATGGCACGACATCGGAAACTGCTGTGTGGCGTCGTTGCGCAAACTATGTCAATGGCAACATGGAGAATGCAGTGGGACGATTATATGTAGAGGAAGCATTTGCTGGAGACAGTAAACATGTGGTAAAGCTTTTAGCAAACTTAGCTTGTGTGCCATCTAAGCACCACTTAATTGTCACTTACCATGAAGTTCTTTACACTTTTTATTATCCTTTTCTACATAGCAGGTCACTTTCTAAAAAACCTAGCCTTCAGATTTGTTTCTTAATCAGTGTACCACTGAGGAGTAGCAGGAAT